CAGCCCTCTGGGGTAGAGAATTATAAAGATTCACCATGCTCTCTGTGAAAAATTCCTCCTCATTTCAGTTCTAATGGCTTTATTTTTATTCTGAAACTGTCTCCCCTGGTTCTAGACCCCACAAACAGAGGAAGCATCCTTTCTAAATTGATTCTGTCAAACCCTTTAAGAATTTTGTAAGTTTCTATGACACCACTTTCTCATTCTTCCAAACCCCAGAGTATACAGACCCAGTCTCCTCAATCTCTCCTCAAAGGACAATCCGAATAATCATTCTAGTGAAACTCACTGCATTGTCTCCATTGCAAGTATAAATTTCCTTAGATAAGAGAGCTAGAACTGCACATCAGTGTTTTATACAATTGAAACTTCTTTGTTCCTGTATTCAAAATCTCTTGTCTTCCAAGTCGCTCGCTGCAAGTGATACCTTTTCGTGACTTATGATCAAGGGCACCAAAGTCCTTTTGGACATCAACAGTTTCCAATATCTCAACATTCACTGTTTTGATTGATTGATTTATTTATTGTCACGTGTACCAAAATACAATGAAAAGCTTTGTATACGAGTGGTACCAGCAGATCACAGTAAGCAAAGGATGTACAGATCAAAAAAGACTTTGAGGCATCAGGTTACATTGCAGGGCATGTGCTAGGCAAGATCAAACATTATGTGAGGCTAGAGAGTCCATTCAGCAGTCTGATAACAGCTGGAAGAAGCTGTTCCTGAACCTGCTTGTGCGTGTGTTCAGGCTTCTGTGTCTTCTGCCTGATGGAAGGAGATCATTACCAGGTTGCAAAGGGTCTACGATGACGTTGGCTGCCTTTCCATGGCAGCGAGCCATGTAAATGGAGTCCATGGATGGAAGGTTGGCTTGAATGATGCTCTGGGCAGTGCACATCACCTTCTGCAGTTTCGTACGGTCCTGGACACAGCAGTTGCCATTATGCTACCGGACAATATGTTTTCAATGGTGCATCTGTAAAAAATTGGTGAGGGACCTTATGGACATGCAAAATTTCCTGAGCCACCTGAGGAAGAAGAGGCTTTGTTGTGCCTTCTTGACTGTTGCACGTACATGGGAAGTCCAGAATAAGTTGTCAGTTATCGTCACTCTAAGGAACTTGATGCTCTTCGCCCTCAGTTCCATGAATGTAGATGGGGGCATGTACTCCTCCTTTCTTTCTGCAGTCAATAATCAGTTCTTTAGTTTTGCTGACATTGAGAGACAGATTATTTTCATTGCACCACGTCACCAAGCCCTCTATCTCCCTTATACCTTTGTTCCTCCTACCAAAGTGGTTGATTTTGCATTTATCCATATTGTATTCTATTCCCCATGCTCTTGCTCACTCTACCAGCTGACTAAACCCTATTGAGGTTTCTTTCCATCTTCCTTACAATTTACATTTCCTCCACACTTTATATCATTTGCAAACTTGGCATTATCACAATTGGTTCCCACATCGAAATCATTGATATAGATTGTGAACAGTGTGGTCCCAAGCATTGATCTTTATGGTAGCCCACTGAGCACATCAGACAACCTGAGAATGACCTGTTTATTCCTACTGTCTTCTTTCTGCTTGTTGATCAATCCTCTAATTATGCTCAGATATTACCACCTCCATTTCCATGCACTTTAATTTTGTTTACTAACCTCCTGTGTGGGACTTTATCAAACATCTTCTGAAAACTCAAATATACCACATTCACTGGTTCTACTTCATTGACTCTGGTAGTAACTCAAACAAATTCTATCAGATTTTTTGAACATGATTTGACTCAGTCCATGCAATTATTTTCTAATGTTCAATGATTACATCTTTTAAGATAGAATGAAGTATTTTCCCTCTTATTGATGTCAGGCTAATAGGTCTGCCAGTGTTTGGCGGGGAGAGGGGTGGTTACATTAGCAAACTTCCAATCTGCAGGCACCATTGCAGAATTAATAGAAGCTTCAGAGACAATGCATCCACTATCTCTGCTGCCTCTTTCAAAACTCTAGTGTAAAAGGTCTGGGAATTTGTTAACTTCACTTCCAATAATTTCCCCAATATTGCATTTCTGCTAATTCTGTTTTCTTTTAGTTCCACATTATCACTAGAGCCTTGGATCTTAATTATTTGAGGGAGCCTTCTTGTGACTTCCTTTTTGTAGGCAGACACATTGTACTTATTTAGCTTCTCTGCCATTTCTCTATTTCCTATTATAAATTCCCATGTCTCTGCCTGTAATGGATCAACATTTATCTTTGTGAATTTTTTTTGCTACATAAGAGAGGTTTGGAGAGGAACTTGCAGGTGGTGCCATACCTTTGTATCTGCTGTCCTTGTCCTTCTGGATGAAAGTTGTCATTTCAAATGGTGTTGTCTAAGGAACCTTGGTAAATTTCTGCAGTGCATCTTGTAGATGGCAGACACTGCTGCTACTGTGCATTGATGGTGGACGTGCGGTCAAATCAAGTTGGTTGAGGTCTCAAATAATGGCCACGCTATTGGCCAGAAATCTTTTGCTCTTCTTCAAAACAGTGCTGTGGAATCTTTTATGTCAACCTCAGACAGAATCTCAATCTAATTTCTTATCTGAAAGATAACATCTCTAACAGCACAGCTCTTTCACAGTAGTGCTCAAGTCTCTAGAGAGCACTTGGAATAAGAAGGCCCCATTTTAGTTGATTACGAGAATTCACAGAAATTTGTGTCACAAAAGCAGTTGCAGGATACTATTATGGGTTTTGGGCTAAAGTCTGGGAGTAACAGAAGAAGGGACATGGAATGCTTACTTTTCAGTTATCTACAAGACTTTAGTTTTAAAGAGTTTAGAATCATTACTACACCAGATCCAAAACAAGGTGATAATGAAGAATCTTCGAAAAACAAAATATACTTCGCAATGAAGTCTTAGAAAAAAAAAGAGCTGTAGGTTTTCTTTAAATTGGTCTGTGTGATGTAACTAATTTGGCTGTCATTTGACCATGAAATGTTGTTTTTAAAAAGTTAGATAAAACATGACTTGATCATTTCGTTTTAATTCATTTATTGGTTGACAGCATTGTCGGCTTGCCCGGTCCTAATTTCCCAGAGGCCAGTTAAGTGTCAATCACATTGTTGTGAGGCTGGAGTTGTATGTAGGTCAGACCAGGTAAGGATGGCAAGTTTCCTTCCCTGAAGGATATTAGCGAACCGGTTGGGTTTTACAACAACTGACAACAGTTTCACTGTCACCAATACTCTTAATTCCAGATCTTTATTGAATTCAAATTTCACCATCTGCCAAGATGGGATTCAAATTTAGGTCTCTGGAATAACGGTCTCATGAAAATAGTACTTGGTCGTTGCCTCCCACTTTGTCAACCTTAAAGATTAAAAGTACTAGTTGTATGTAACTGACATATAGGGGACAGTTGTCTTTTCACAATGAAATTCACCTCTGAAAACTGTGTGATCGTGTTTTGGAAATGGACCAGGATTCAATCTTAGCCACTTTATTAATTTCAGGACCAGCCCTTTTTTTGGAAGCACTGGGGATTTTGTTGGACCAAGCTGACAAAAACAATGTTCTGCCAACTCTTTGGTCTTTTGTTGTTGAAAGCTGCGGCAGAGCTTCCTTTACCAATTTAAAAGGAGTAGGGAAAGGTGTCATGTAGGCATGGAAAGTAGGTCCTCAGCTTGCCAATGGGAATTAGGTGTGAAAGGTGCCTTTGGTGGGCCTGTAGATGAAAAGGGCTATAAATGACCAGTAGTTGAGGTGTTTCAGGCATTTTAGCCAGAAATTGACATGCCATACCATTGCTGGCACACCTGCTGATTTTATTTTGCTTTCAATGCATGTTAGCAGATAAACCTACATGAGACGTTATGCTCCAACTCCCTTTATTAGTCCCAGAACAGGTATCAATATGGGTCCTTCAAAGTAATTGTTCAGAAGAGCAGTGCTCAGATTGACAGAGGACTAAACTATCCCACTGGTATTTGCAGCCCATCAATGCAAAAAGTAATTACACTTTACCACAAATAGGCTGTACTCCACACAGAAAAGGTAGATTTCAATATTTTTAAAAGGTAGCATGACAAGTCTCCTGTACAAGTTACTTGATGGGCAACACACAGATTTCTAAACATACGAGACCTGACTAAAGCCAGATCATCCTTTTCACAATACTTGAACATTTCATAAAAATCCAATATATCTTTAAGCGCTGCAAGTAAGCAGTAGAACTAGAAATCTCTGAAAAATAGAAGATAGATATAAATGGGATTTCTCTTGGCAAATTAATATTCAAATGTGTTGCTTACTAGATGATTAATTATTTATAGCAATTTCCAACTTTTTTTGCTTCTTCAAATGAGAAATGTTATAATTATCACGATCACTTAAAAATATAAAATAGCAAACTTATTTGTCTTGAATATTCTGGTCATTACAGAACAATTATTGAATGTCAGGAGATGCTCAAGACTGTTCCTCATTACAGTCTGAAAAGAAAACCCTGTGATATGTGTGGAGCTACAACTATAATTGGTTGTACTGAGTGATTTGGACGGTTAATAACTTTGATCTGTTTTCATTCAAGGCTCCGACTTACAATTCCAATCATTGTGTTGTTTTTTTTTGGAAAATACATTTACATAGCAAAACCTCAACATTTCACGGAAGCATAAGGCAAAATGAACTCTATGTATTTAATTTGTCCTACTGTGAACAATCAAATAAAATTACACATTTTTGTCTTGAAAGTTAACACCCTTGAGAATCAATATGTGAAAACAGTACTGAATTACTGCTAAACAACAGAAGAGCCACAATTTTAACAATTAATGAAGCTGTGTGTATTTTAAAAGGAGGTATTGGAGTAGTTCGGAAGTGGAAATAGAAATATAACAGTATATGATGTATAAAGAGGAAACTTAGTGTTCAGTTTTTTCAATGAGACTACCTGGAAAACCTCATGTTACATTTTAGGCACTGTACAAGTAATCCATAGCTTAACATAAAATCATAAGGTATGTACCATATGTTTATTATTCTGTTAGAACGTTGACCTATATTACAATTTCAAAGAACCCACTTTCTTAGCCGTCAGTATTGGCTAAAAGATGGTAATAATCACATACTAATTACCCATGGTTCACAAAATATAAATTCATTTTAAAAAGCATATATATATACACACATACTGTACAGCATTACGTGTATTTTCTGGGCACAGGGCCTCCTTCAAAAGCTTTACAGCACTACAGACTCTCAAAATTCAGAAATAATGAGGGAGATTTAGCTCCTGAAAACTTATAGTTTTGGGATGTGAAAATATTAAAAATCTATTATCTGGTTTTAACAAAAAGAAAGAGGCAGTGTGCCTTATATTTAGGCAGCATGCTCAATTTGACTGCTTGATTTGATCAGATTTTATTGTCACATGTACCAGAGTACAAGAGTACAGGAGTACCGTGAAAAGTGTACACAGCAGCCACCCTCCAGCACCATCTTAGAATACAATAGCCAGAATTAAAAACAAGAGCAGAAGTTAAAGAAACAGAAACAAAAGGAAAATAAAACGTCCAGATCACCCTTGCCGCAGCCATGAGTCTTGAGCAACTGAATCCAGCATAGTATGTTGTCTTCCTGGTACCAAGATCAATTATGTCATTCAGTGGTTGCAGAGGACCAAGCTGGTAAACAGCGAGAGCCACTGGTCCACATTGGTACCAATGATATAGGCAGAAAAATTGTGGGTGAAATCTAGTGCAATAATCAAATTTAAGGTACTAAAAGCAAAAGCAAAATATTGTGATACCGGAAACTTTAAATGAAAAACAAAATTTATTTTAAAAATTCAGCACGTTAGGCAGCATTTGTGCACAGCAAAACAGAGTTAACTTTTCAGGTTGAGTGACCCATCATCAAAATTGATTCAGATCGGAGCATTTCACAGAATGTTCACTTGACTGATTCCTGGGATTGGGGGGTGGGTGGAAGGTTGGACCTGTATCTATTGGATTTTAGGAGGGTGATCGATCCAGCGAACTTGACCAGGTGGATGCTAGAAGATGGTTTCTCCTTGTGGGTGAAATAGGAACCAAAGAACAGTTTAAATGAGAGGAGTCTCCCATTTAAGACTGAAATAAAGAGAAATGTTTTCACTAAGGGGCAGGAGTTTGTTTAATTCTCTTTCCCAGATAGTAGGAGAGGCTGCGTCATTAAATATTAATGAGGCAGAGATACTTATTTACTTGAGTAATAGGAAGTCAAAGGGAAAGTAGGGTTGAGGTTACGATCACATCAGCTATAATCTTGTCAAAAGGCACAGTAGGCTCGAGGGACAGAATCGCCTACACCTGATCCTAATTCATATGTACCCATGCAAGTGGTAATCTACAGACTATTACTGGTTTTGTGCACAAGTGAATATAGAAATTGGAAGATGAGACAAACGTGCCAACGGCTCGAAAGACTGGATGAGAGCGACCTGTGATTCCTGGAACATTGAGATCAGATTCTGGGGCAGACATAAGTCGTACAGGCAAGGTGCACCTAAACAGATATGCTTGTGGGACAACTTGCTCGTACTCTTAAAGGAAGTTTAATAGGATATTGACCGGACTGACAGCAGCTAACATCAGAGAGAAACACCAAGATGTACAGAATTCTGGAGGAGACAGATAGCATTAGGAAAGAGGTATTATGTGGGTTTAGATTAGGGGAAAAGGTAATCAACTCCACATTAGGGTTACTATGCATGCATGACAGTGCATTTCTCTCAGTAAACAAGATTAGTAAGAATGCAGACAAGGACTGCCATGTGGAAATATGACATCCTGGCTATATCAGAGACCTGATTCAAAGAAGGGCAGGAATGGTACAAGTTGACTGGAGATGATTTGAATACAGGCGTGGTATATTTTCAAGGGGAAAAATAGACCAAACAAATTCAAAGTGCTCTGAACGATGAAAAAGTAGAGATGAAGAAAAAAGTATGTTTATGATATATGTCAGGTGGCTAATACACAATCAACCGGGTTAAAATATATAAACTTCAGATGTAAAAAGTGAAAAATCAAATAAAAAAATCTTTTGATAAATACTTGAAACGTTAACACTGCTTTCTCCCCACAGATGCTGCCAGACCTGCTGGGTTTTCCAGCAATTTCTGTTTTTGTTTCAGATCTGCAGCACTCACAGGTCTTTGTTTCATAAAAGAAATGAAAAGAGACCATCAGTGAACACAAGAGAGAATCCAAAAGCCTTCGACAGGGATATAAATAGTAAAATCGATGGTAAAAGTAGGAGTGGGTTAGAAGGTAGGGGGCATAGCTGAGGTATTTTAAAAATACTTTGCATCTAAGTTAATCAAAGAAGATGATGCTACACAAGTCGTGGTAAAAGAAGTGATAATTCATACACCTGAACCATCTTAAATATCTAAGGAGAAGGCACTGGATAGGTTAACTGTATTATTGTTGACTAGCCACCAGGACCAAATGCAATAATACACTGAAGCATACATGAGGGAAGTGCAAGTGGAGATTACAGAGACATTAGACACAATTCTCCTGTCTTCCTTAGACTTGGGATGGTGCCACAGGTCTGAAAATTGCAAAACTTACACTCTTTGTTATAAAAATGATAAAAAGATAAATCCAGAAACTACAGGACAGGCAGTTTAACCTTAACAGCAGGGAAGCTTCCACTAACAATTATTTAGGAGAAATTAGTCCTTTGGGTTAATGCAAGTTAATTAATGAGAGCCAGCATAAATTTGTTATAGGCAGACTACATTCAACTAACTTTCTGGAGTTTATTGATGAGGCAACAGAGAGGGTTGATGAAGGTAATGCTGTTGACATAGTGCATATGGATTTATAAATATAATGTGATTTTACACTGGATGAGTGAAATTATGACTCATGAAATAAAAAGGGATCATAGTGATGTAGATACAAAATTGGCTGAGAAACTGGAAACAGTCATAGTTAGTCAATTTTTCCTGGACTGGAGGAAGATGTGCAATGAGGTGCCCCAGGGAGGTGTTAGGGGCACTGTTCTTCAGGACATACATTAATGATCTAGACCTTGGTGAATAGAGCATAATTTCAAATATGATAAATTTTGAAAGCATCATCAACATGGAGGAGCCATGATGTGGACATGCTGGGGTTGGACTGGGGTGGACAAAGTCAGAAGTCACCCGACACCAGATTATAGTCCAACGATTCATTTGTAATCACCTGCTTTTGGAGCACTACTACTTCGTCAGGTGAAGTCGCATCGCCCGACAAGGGAGCAGCGCTCCGAAAGCTTGTCATTTCAAATAAACCTGTTGGACTATAACCTGGTGTCGTGTGACTTCTGACAGTGAGGAGGATAAATTTAGAACCATCTGAGCTCATAAATAAGTTGGTTGAATGACAGACAAGTGGCAAATGAAATGAAATGCAGTGCAATGGAAAGTGATCCATTTTAGTAGTAAGAATGAGGAGAGACAACCTTAAAAAAGGTACAATTGTAAAGGAGTACTGAAGCAGAGGGAGCTGAGTGTATATGTAGGTACGTTATTGAAAAGAGCAGGGCCGGTTAAGGGAGTGGTTCATAAAATACATGGTTTTATCAAAAGGAGCATAGAGTGCAAAAGCAAGGAGGTTATGTTAAACAAAAACAACTCTCTGGAAAAGCTCAGCAGGTTTGGTAGCATCTGTGGAGAGAAATCAGAGTTAACATTTCAGATGCAGTGACCCTTCCTCAGAATGGAGCAGATTTCCAGCAGTTCTTTCGGTTTTTATGAGGTTGCATTAAACTTGTATGGAGCACTAGTTTGGCCTCAGCTGGAGTATTGCATCCAGTCTTGGGTACTACACTTCAGAAAAGATGTTAAAGTGCGAGAGAGAGTGTTGAAAAGGTTAATGAGAATGGTTCCAGGGATGAGGAACTTCATTATGTAGATAGGCTAGTGAGCTTGGGACTCTTGGAGAAGCTTGCAAGGAATTTCAGTGGAAGTATATAAAATCATGAGGGGTCTGACAGAATAGATGGGAAAAGTATTCTTGGTCCTTCCATCAATGGGAACAGGACAGTACAAATGAGATAACTGACAAAAGCATCAGAGCCATGAAGAAAAACCTTCTCATGTATGGAATGGTTGGAATCTGGAAAGCACTGCCTGAATGTGCTGGAAGCAGGGTTGATTGAGGCAGTTATGAGGGTACTGAATTATTATCCAAAAAGTAGGAACATGCAAGGCTACAAAGGAAAAAGTTAGAGTGAGACAATGGGTAATTTGGTTCTTTGGAAAGCCAACACTGGCAATAGACTGAATAACATCCTTCTGCGCTGTAACCATTATATGAATCTGTTGACTAAAGGGTGGGGAGGACTGCTGGAAGGCAAATGTCTTTCTAGGTCATCTGTTTTATCCAGCTCTCACAATCAGAACTCCTGATTTACTACTAACTTGTGTGATCTCCTCTACAACATTCTGATCTGCCCCAGGCAGGTCTCTGATTTTTACTCCACTCACCCAGACTTTTTACAATTCCTCCCTCCTCTCTACTTCCCAAGGCCAAAGGCCTACCTGCTTGACAGACTCACAAAACATGGCTGACTGTAGCTGGGAAACCAAGATGAAAAATTCTAAACAGGTCCTTAAATTAATGTCCACTTATGATGAGTTTTGTAAAAACAGGCATAATCACTGAAATTTTTTGAGATAGATACAGAAATATTATGACTTGTTCCACAAGAAGTAAGAAAAGTGAAGATTTGAATATAATTACCACTAAAGCTTGCAAAAACCTGAAACAATTTATCATGTAGGAATAAGTTGATGTTTAAAAAAGTCAAAGTCTAATTTACTTAAATTAAGCTGTATGTTATTGTGCTTCTGGAGAAGTTTAAACTATTGAATTACTTGTTAATATAATACTTTTGAATCCCGCTCCCCCTCCACACACACACACACACACACACACGTAAACGTTATCCCTGTTTTAAACTACTCAGAAATAATGATGTCTCAAATAACTTGCATAACTTAATTACAAAACATCTTACATAATCCTTCATCAAGGTTTATAACTGTAGATTGCACACAGACCTTTGATATTGTAGAAGCTGTATGTGCCAAATTTAATTTGCTTTTTTCATTAAAGGTCAAGCTGTTCATTTACATCATTATGAATGTTTTCCTCATCTGATTCTTCCCAGATATCTTCAAATATCTGATTATCAGTGTCACCTTTAACTGCACCAACTTCTTCTGTTCGTAAGAGGGCAAAAGATTCTGCAACAAACTCTCTGCACATGGGACATTGATTGAAGTAATTCACACAACAGTCACATAGACAGGCATGTCTGCAAGGCAGCAGAACCCAGTTCACAGCAGCATTCTGACACACAACACAATCTTTGCTGCTTTCGTTTTGTGAGTCAAGCTCTTCTTCTGTGGTGCCAAATTTTTCCAAGAGTTTTTTGTCCAGGCCAGTTTCTGAAGGCAGTTGTGCAGGTAAACTGGTTTCATCAACAGGTACAAACAGTCTCTGAGTAATTAAAACGTAACAATATAAATTTAATTAAAAAGGCAGAATACAGCTTGATATGTAGTACAATTACTGTAAACTACTCACTGCATTTGCTAAACGGCCAGAGCCAAACGACTAAATCAATGCAATTGCAAGAAATATTCCAAAAAACTTCATATGCAGTCACTTTTGTTTCCTAGACAAATTTAGGACACCCTAAATAATTCACTGATATTCAAAAAGACATTTTATGCCTTGCTGAACATGAAGGCATTTGGTGAAAGATGTCATCGATATCAATGCACCACTCTCTCGACAGGTTTCACATCTACTGTGCCACAAATGATACATATCAATTGTTTATTATATTGTTTGTGTACGTATATGTATTAACTGACTTTTGTATTTGTACTGAAATGTTTTAAATAACTGGACTTTTGACAAAATTTTCAGCTCACTGTTTATATTAAGATGTGTTTCACAGGAGGAGTGCATAGAAGTGGGAAACAAGAAACAAGAAGCAGGAACAGAGCAACAACCGCAGTAATAGCATTTGGAAATTTCTCGGATAAAGGGAGAGAGATAAATACTAAAACTAGGTGCTGAGCAATGGTAGTAAATTATATGCCCTTCATTGAAAACAAAACTGTTTTTACAGGGCTAAATAAAAAGATGAACATTAAGTAGAAAAGTGAACTTTGTGGACAGGCAAAGGAAAAATTGCTGCAAATGATTTTGGAGACTTATGAAGGCAGGGTGCAAAGTGAGCACTGCAGAGGGATTCATTTTAGAAATGCAACTATGCCTATGTTGAAATAGAATTGTGAAGTAATCATGCATAATGCTACAACATGATTTTACCTACAGATATCTATACCGATGAGCTCCAAATCTTTGCTTAATCACAATGGTGGCCAAATATTTCCTCACAAAAGAGAAGTTACCACCAGGCTGCTCAGTTAGGACTCAAAGTGATTCACAGCAACTCTAGCAGTTTCAAGGGATTAAATCTCCCATCCACCTTCTAAAGGCCATGATGGTCAAAATAAGTAATTTGAAAAGTATAGCATTCATTATATGTGTTTTTTGGTAATTTTAAAATATTCAAATTTTAATGTTTATATATAAACTGATAAACAGCCACTTAAAACAAAAAAGACATGGAAGCAAGCCCACGAATAATCTAATCAGACTCTGTCAAGTTTCTTGATAATCTAAGTTGACCTTAATACACTAATTAAATGCCTAATTTTTAAAAATACATTTAAAACTATTTGGTGCCCAACAGCTCAGTAAATAAAGACAGAATCATACACACAACCAAGATCACAGGTTCTAATCCTAGTCTGCTTAGATTTATCTCAACTGGAGCAGGAGTGTGAATATAATTAGTTTTATAACACTATAGTTGATTACAACATCAACTATTTTGCCTGTCACATCCGTGTTAGCCCTTAAATAAAACAACCAAAACTAAACCCATTGTCCTGTATTCTCAGTGTCATATTGCTATGCTTCGAGTGTTCATATGGCATTCCGTGATTAGAAGAGGGTGGTTTGGAAGCCAGGAACTGTTTTACTTGGGATATCTGGCACAGATAAAAACCAATCAACCAGTCTATGGTGGTGTTTATACAATGCTTGAAAATTCTCCCTGAAACCCTCACCTCAAACTACCACGGCAACAATCTATCATCATCTTTCTCATGTGCTTGTCTAGCTCCATAAACATGTCTATATTATTTGGCTCAACCATTCCCTGTGGTAGCATGCTGCAATGTAGGACAAATTACTGCAGATGCTGAAAATCTGTACTGAAAACAAAAAAATGCTGGAAATCACAGGAGGTCAGGCAGCATCTGTGGAGAGACAGCAAGCTAACATTGAGTCTGGATGACTCTTCATCAGAGCTCTAATGAAGAGTCACCTAAGACTTGAAACATTAGCTTCTCACCTTTATCTGTACATAATCTGTTGAGAATTTGACACTCTTCAGATATTGAAACAGTCCATGTCCAAATGCAATAAGACTTGGACAACAGTCAGGCTTGAATTGATAACAAATAAGCAACATTTGCATCACACAAGTGCTAGGCAATGACCATCTGCAATATGATAGAATTTGACCAGCTCTCCTTGCTAGTTAATGGAATCATTATTATTGAATTCACTACGATCAACAACCTGGGGATTATGATTGACCAGACACTCAAATGGACCAACAATATAATTACTGTGGCTAAGAAGAGGAGGTCAGAGTCTGGGAATTGAGGCGAGTAACTCATGTAATGCACATGTCAGGAATGTGATAGAATATTGGAATATTGTCCACTTTCATCGATGACTGTGGCTCCGGAACAGCCCATTTTATCAGCACTCCATCCACTCCATTGAAAGCATTTTTCAAACCTGCAACTTCTACCACCTAGAAGGACAAGGGAGACATGGGAACACTGTAAACTGCCAGGCTATACAACTTCATGACATATACCTGTTCCCTCGCTATTACTCGATGAAAATTCTGAAATTCCTTTTTGAACAACACTCGGTGTACCTAAACTACATGGATTGTAATGGATCAAGGTCGTGGCACACTATCATTTTCTCAAGGGCAATTAGAAAAGGGCAAAAAAATTCTCCTTAAATTTTTTTTTGTTTAAAACCTCAATGAGCTGAAATTTGTGCTACTCGTTTCCAACCTTCGATACTGCACCACAGGGATATATTGTTAGGGGACAAAAAGGTAGATTTTACGAATTCCCTGGAGCAGGACTTAAACCCAAAACCTTCTGACTCAGAGGTGAAAGGGTTCTCTACTGAGCCACAGTGGAGTCAAAATCTTTAAGTCATTGTCTTCTCCCCATTAGGGAACTGAATGCCAGTCTCCCACAATATTAACCGCGATATTAATAAGGAACTGCATAGTCTTAATTGTTATTTTACCTGATTTCTAAACTCGCCCACGTCTTTATTATTTATGCCTGGAATCAGCAATAATGCTTCTTACTCTCTCTATAATCAAACTGCTTAATAACAATCTCTCTCAGGAAAGAGCAGAGAAAACAAGCTGAAAATGTTAGCTATAATCTTTACACATGTAAACCATCATATGTCAGCATTTTACTCTCAAGTACTCATTGTAATAAAACGTATGAGAAATATTAGCATACATTGTTGATTCCATTCTCCCACAATCACTACAACTCATAAACCTACCTTAAGGTCATATATGTGACCTTGTGCAGTCAGCAGATACTGGTATAAGATCCGGCAGGTGAGTCTGTATTTCTCATCTGGAACATGAATTACTGTGACCATAGAAACCTGAAGATATAGGATCCACATATATTGTGAAATTTTCTGATTAAATGTATACACAGCAACAAAAATATTGAAACAGGTTGAATTTCTTCTGGTAGTCTGATGGATATTTTTCTTAAATTGTATCAAATTGAAGTTTGAGTAATACCACTATATAGCCTGAAATTTTTGTAAGCATTTTAAAAATTGTGTTCTGAACACAAAATTTAAACTAATACAATTTAACACTTCTATGTTCTCTCACTCCAAGGTTGCAGGATGGCACAATTGACTTTCAGTCTCAGACTAACTAGAGCAGAAAAAGATGAGGGAGGGAAAAAAAAATGAGAAGGTTTGAAAAATGAAGCATCAAATTGTGGTTTGAATCATCTGGTAACACCAAGGCTAGGCTCAATGTTACTACTTCAGCAAATCATCACAGGCCTCTGAAGCAGTGTTACGATAACTCAGAATATGTTGCCATCTGCTGAGGAGATAGGCAGTCAGTCAAAAATATTCTTCAGTTAGCATTTAATGCTTTTTCTTAAAAAAAAATCAATAAACATACTTACAATTTCATAAATATCCCGGTCTTCCTCTTCTGCTAATGTTAACAATGCTACCAGTGGATATCGTGTTCGAGGCAGATTCCCGAAATCTTTTACTGCTAAATATTTAGGTAGCTGAGAGAACTTTTCATTGTCATTTTGTTTCTCAATGCTAGTACAATATGATAAAGAAATTAATTCTGAAATATATTACCAGTTCTAATTGTAATGTTGCAAGACAAATTCTTTGTTATTTGACTCTCCAGTTTATTTTAAAGCAAACAGTTTAGGATGAATTTTCCAATCTGTGTGGTTGCCACTCCACACTTTTAAAGGAACGTTAAGAAAGAGCACTGCATTTCTAAAAGGAGATTCCAGTCAGGGATCCTTCAGAAATGCGGAGCTGTGGGAGTCTTGGATCCAGCGGCAGCAGCTTTCGGGTCCCAGGTGGAGATAGGTGGGGTTTGGGTGCTGGTCAGAGTCTGGGGAGGTGTAGTTGGGGGATCAGTTTAATAGTTACTTAGGTTTTAAAACTAGGTTTTTAATAGTCTAACTTTCAGAAATATAGCAAAATAGTAGGTCATTTGGACTATCAAACCTGCTCTCCAACTGAATGTGGTCATGGCTGATTGAATACTTCAATGCCTTACACCCCCACTTTCCCCATAAATTTTTATTTATCAACGGCATGAAGAGTTATCAACCTCTACTTTACATATACCCAAAGACTAAGCTTCCATAGCCCTCAAGTATAGAATTCCAAAGATTCACCGCTCTCTGAGTAAAAAGGAAATTCTCATCTTGGTCCGGAATGATATCCCCCCCATATCTTTAAATTGTTACCCCACCACCACCCCCCGGTTCCAGACACCCCACCCAAGGAAATCATCCTGCATTCATTAACCCTGTTTATTCCTTGAAGTATTTTGTAGATTTCAATTAGATCATCTTTCATTCTTCAAAACTCTGGAGTATCTAGGCCCACTTTACCCAATTTCCTTCATTGGCCAGCCACACCATCTTGGGAACAAGTCTGGTCAACCTCTACTGCACCCCCTCTATGACAACATCTTTCCTGGTAAGGAGACCAAAACTACCCAGAATACTCCAAGCAAAGTCTAAGTTGACTTCAACTGAAGCAAAACTTCACAACTCCCATATGCAGTCCTAATCTATGATCTCCTTCATCCCCATAAATCCCAAAGATATATGCACTCATCTAATTCTGACCTATGTACATCCCGATTTACCCTCAGTTGCCTGGACTTCAAGGTTTGGACACCGTCCCTGCGCCTTTCTGCTTCTCTACCTGACTTTCTTTAGGGCACTTCTCAAAACCTACTTCTTTGACCAAACTTTGGTAATCTGAAACTAATATCTGCACGTTGCTCAGTGTCACACTTTTTTTATATGATGCTTCTATGAAAAATATTTTATTACATTGAAGGCATTATGCAAGTCAGTTGTTGTTTCTGCATGCCATCTGACATTAGTTAACGTTATTCATAACTCTGATAGGTACGCAACAGATTCTGACTTGTCCATCAGAAGTTTGGGAAAAGGATACAGAAATGTCTCTTGATGAAGGTATTCTTGATCTATGGCTTCTTCTAGTTTCTGGGGCACCTTTATTCTGAAGCTGTAAACATGTTTTTGTAATCCTTCATGAAGTTTGTGAACATTGCATCCCCAGTAGACAGTCAAAATGCATTTCTCTATGCAATGAGATTTGAGACTTACTCCACCTGCAAAGGTAATGTAGAAATTTTTTGCAGAGGTAGCAAATTATGTCCAAAACATTCTCAACACAGACAAGCTTGTTGAGTAGTACATTAAAAACGTACTTACTGAGAAATTATTTTTTCAACAGGACTTATAAAGTTAGTATGTTGCAAAAAAACTGATTTGATTTTGTAACAGAAGTGGTGAACCTTATTCCTCTTTCCACTATCACAAAGTGAAAATAAATTTGTGTGTTTCTTGCGCATATTCCAAAACTATTATCTCCTGTGCACTGCAGTCAGTTGATATGTTCACATTGACCATAGCTATTGCATTTTCAATTTCTTTTTCAGGTAAATGCAACACTATACCTTGAAGTAGCAGAAACAAATTTAAATACGATAGGAATAAGGAAGTGATGACAGTTTCTTGGTGAGACTGAAGGAAAGTGAGGCAAGTATTCATGTTACAGAATGGCAAAGGAAATAAAATAAAGGCCAGAAACAGTATGTGGGACACAAGTAGAAAACAGCAATGGCAGTAATTGGCCACAGAGACTGTGACTTAGATTTTTACCTCCTTATCCAACCCAAGAAAAGCCTCTCAAACCAAAAGAAAGAAAGGCATCACAAAAGCTCTGAAGTATTAAAGTTATGTTGAACCATATAAATTGGTATTTCTGTTCTAATGATCTACATAGAACATAGAACATTACAGCCCAGTACAGGCTCTTTGGCCCTCGATGTTGCGCCGACCTGTGAAACCAATCTGAAGCCCATCTAACCTACACTATTCCATTATCATCCATATGTTTATCCAATGACCATTTAAATGCCCTTAATGTTGGCGAGTCTACTACTGTTGCAGGCAGGGCATTCCACGCCCTTACTACTCTCTGAGTAAAGAACCTACCTCCGACATCTGTCCTATATCTATCACCCCTCAATTTAAAGCTATGTCCCCTTGTGCTAGCCACCACCATCCGAGGAAAAAGGCTCCCACTGTCCACCCTATCTAATCCTCTGATCATCTTGTATGTCTCTATTAAGTCACCTCTTAACCTTCTTCTAACGAAAACAGCCTCAAGTCCCTCAGCCTTTCCTCATAAGACCTTCCCTCCATGCCAGGCAACATCCTGGTAAATCTCCTCTGCACCCTTTCCAATGTCTCCACATCCTTCCTATAATGCGGCGACCAGAACTGTACGCAATACTCCAAGTGCGGCCGCACCAGAGTTTTGTACAGCTGCAACATGACCTCATGGCTCTGAAACTCAATCCCTCTACCGATAAAACCTAACTAACTGTACGCCTTCTTAACAACCCTACCAACCTGGGTGGCAACTTTCAGGGATCTATGCACACAGACACCGAGATCTCTCTGCTCATCCACACTACCAAGAATCTTGCCATTAGCCCAGTACTCTGTATTCCTGTTACTCCTTCCAAAGTGAATCACCTCACACTTTTCCACATTAAACTCCATTTGCCACCTCTCAGCCCAGCTCTGCAGCTTATCTATGTCCCTCTGTAACCTGCAACATCCTTCCACACTATCCACAACTCCACCGACTTTGGTGTCATCCGCAAATTTACTAACCCATCCTTCTACGCCCTCATCCAGGTCATTTATAAAAATGACAAACAGCAGTGACCCCAAAACAGATCCTTGCAGTACACCACTAGTAACTGAACTCCAGGATGAACATTTCCCATCAACCACCACCCTCTGTCTTCTTACAGCTAGCCAATTTCTGATCCAAACCGCTAAATCACCCTCAATCCCATGCCTCCGTATTTTCTGCAATAGCCTACCATGGGGAACCTTATCGAACGCTTTACTGAAATCCATATACACCACATCAAACGCTTTACCCTCATCCACCTGTTTGGTCACCTTCTCAAAGAACTCAATAAGGTTTGTGAGGCACGACCGACCCTTCACAAAACCGTGTTGACTATCCCTAATCAAATTATTCTTTTCTAGATGATTATAAATCCTATCTCTTATAATCCTTTCCAACACTTTACCCACAACCGAAGTAAGGCTCACTGGTCTATAATTACCAGGGTTGTCTCTACTCCCCTTCTTGAACAAGGGGACAACATTTGCTATCCTCCAGTACTATTCCTGTAGACAATAACGACATAAAGATCAAAGCCAAAGGCTCTGCAATCTCCTCCCTAGCTTCCCAGAGAATCCTAGGATAAATCCCATCTGGCCCAGGGGACTTATCTATTTTCACACTTTCCAGAATTGCTAACACCTCCTCCTTATGAACCTCAATCCTGTCTAGTCTAATAGACTGTATCTCAGTATTCTCCTCGACTACATTGTCTTTTTCTTGTGTGAATACTGACGAAAAATATTCATTTAGCGCCTCTCCTATCTCTTCGGGCTCCACACACAACTTCCCACTACTGTCCTTGACTGGGCCTAATCTTACTCTAGTCATTCTTTTATTTGTGACATACCTATAGAAAGCTTTAGGGTTTTCCTTGATCCTACCTGGCTAAAGACTTCGCATGTCCCCTCCTGGCTCTTCTTAGCTCTCTCTTTAGGTCCTTCCTGGCTAACTTGTAACTGTCAAGCGCCTAACTGAGCCTTCACGCCTCATCTTTACATAAGCCTCCTTCTTCCTCTTGACAAGAGATTCAACTTCTTTAGTAAACCACGGTTCCCTCGCTCGACCACTTCCTCCCTGCCTGACAGGTACATACTTCTCAAGGACACGCAGTAGCTGTTCCTTGAACAAGCTCCACATTTCAATTGTACCCAGCCCCTGCAGTTTCCTTCTCCATCCTACGCATCCTAAATCTTGCCTAATTGCCTCATAATTGCCTTTCCCCCAGCTATAACTCTTGCCCTGCGGTATATACCTATCCTTTTCCATCGCTAAAGTAAACATAACCGAATTGTGGTCACTATCACCAAAGTGCTCACCTACCTCCAAATCTAACACCTGGCCTGGTTCATTACCCAGTACCAAATCCAATGTGGCCTCGCCCCTTGTTGGACTATCTACATACTGTGTCAGGAAACCCTCCTGCACACATTGGACAAAAAAATGACCCATCTAAAGTACTCTATAGTGTTTCCAGTCAATATTTGGAAAGTTAAAGTCCCCCATAACAACTACCCTGTTACTTTCGCTCCAATCCAGAATCATCTTTGCGATCCTTTCCTCTACATCTCTGGAACTTTTCAGAGGCCGATAGAAAACTCCCAAGAGGGTGACCTCTCCTTTCCTGTTTCTAACCTCAGCCCACACTACCTCAGTAGACGAGTCCTCATCAAACGTCCTTTCTGCCACTGTAATACTGTCCTTGACTAACAATGCCACACCTCTCCCTCTTTTACCACCTTCCCTGATCCTACTGTCTAGGAAATACATTGTATGTTTAGAAAATGGGTAGGATTTGGAAATTAAATAAATTTACAACAATGTTTTGCAAGTGAGAATTGATAGCAAGAGAAAGCTGGTTAGTTCAATGAAAATGATGTTAAAATATTCAAAACACAGAGACAGATTTTCCACAGTAATTATTCTTTAAAAATTCATACAACCCCAAAAATTGAGAACAAAAACTGTCTATTTCTAGATCTGTATCCCTGAGTTAAAACCTTCAATGTTAGTCTTATTATAAAGTACAGAATATTGATTGAAACAAGGACCACATCCCTTTTAGCTGTAAAAACAAGAGTTTTAATGCTGGTATGGTCATATTTCCTCTTCTGATGAGCAATAGTATTAAAAAAAAATGAACAAGCTCCTTGCCAAACTTCTGAAAATACTTTACTACTTTTAGAAGTGCAGAAATTCCACAGCTGAAAAGAAATCATCTGACCAAATAACAAATAAGAACATGAGCAAGAAATTTACCTGCACCTTCAGAAAACAGGCTGTGAATGCGCAGGAACTTTTGATTGCATTTTAACCTCTTTAATTAACCTGCATTTTCAGCTTTTTCCTCTCTTCTCCGCAGAAGATGTGATAAAGCTTCCAGGGCCAACTTTTAGGCAAGCATGACAATAAATCAATGGCAAATTTCCCCCACTTCATAAGCAACATAACCAAGCCCTGGAACTCAGCAAAGCGTTGACTCTGGAGTATCTCTTGCTAGTATGAGAACATATACTTTCTTCAGCCTCCCCTCCTACTTTTCACTCTTCTTCCTTGAAGGTGTCGAGTCATGAAGAGATACACTTCTCATTACCTGATTGCATTATAAAATCTTGTAGCCATTTGAATGTGAAATCCTGAACATTCCACCCACCCGCTTCAGCGAACACCACTTGCCCAACCTGTAGCAGCATGTGCAGATCCAGTAGTCTATTAGATTATTTAGTCACCTCAGCACCCACAACAACGAAGTGGAAGAAAGTCATCCTTGATCCCAAGGGGCTGCCTAAGAAGAATTCAAGTGCAATATATGCATCTAATTATATATCTCATAAAATTCAATAATTCCTTGTAACTACAGCCAAGTAAACTGAGATTATAATTGTTCAATTAGCAAACCAACAGATACCGAATTGATACAATTTCATTCTGGTGATGGATCAGCTTTTAATGCTCATAAGATGTAAGAAAGAATTTCATTGTCAGTAGTTAGATTTGTGGTTATTTTCCTTCTGCATGATTCAAACAATGTACTTAATCCAGAAGCGAATCTTCAACTGCTCACATAGCACGTCTATTTGTTATGTATCTTTACATCCCCAGAGTTAAAGTTGCAGTTAGTGCTGAATGGCATTTTGTTTTCATAGTGTGGCTTCCATGGTAGTAGATGTTTTGAAAACTCTCCAGACTCATTTCATGTAAGCAAGCAAAGTCGGTCTGAAGAACTTTAGATTCAAAATAGAAGAGAAAAGATAGCCCACTGTCAAGCCTAATTTTGGACATAAATTCCATCCAATTGGTTGAGAAGAGGTTACATATTTACTTATCTCCGTTTTCAAGCCAAAATTTTACTTAAGAAACACGCTTGATGTTCTCCTCTTCTGCTTAAGATCTTACTCT